GCGCTCTCGGCGAGTTATTATGATGTTTCAAATATTGATGAGCGTGGTGATTTTAGCGAATTTCAAAAGCTAATGAAAACGAAGACAGAACCAACAACACGAAAGCTAAAGCTGAAGAAAGGAATGAGATCGCAATCGATGGACAGTTTGGACCATGACACGCTTTTGAGCCCTTTAAAGAGACGTAGCAAGCTGACTCGCAGCAATAAAAGCTTGTCAGGCAAAACGGATGATGAACAAGAGAACGATAAAGATGACGATGGAGATGAGGATGAGGATAATGATGATGATGAGGATGTCAGTAACCATGTTATGCAGTTAATTTCTAACGCAATTTATTTAATTTTTTTTCTGGGCTCTTTAAAGGAGGATGAAGTGGCATCTGGTGATAACACTAACGATGAAGAAGAGCACAGCGGTACCGTCTCAGATGAAGATGAGCCTACTGAAAGTATTTCCGAAGCAAAACCAGCTGCAGCAGTAAACAAGGCTGATGAGAAAAAGACAAAAGAACAAACTAAACACCCATTTCGTGCTGTATCCTCAGCGAACGTAAGAAAGCAAAGAAAATTGCTTGGAAAATCAAAGTAGTTATAAACAGCGTAGATTAAAGATAAACGTACATACATATTTAATTGGCAAATGAAATGTAACTTGCAATGAAGTATAAGATTGGACTACTAAATTAACCACTATTGCTATTAAGTTGACAGAACATAACACAAAATCATGCATGCTACAGAGAATGGTTAAAATCATATTTTATTTGTAAACTAATTAACTTTACATCTCGCTCAGGTCAACAAGCCTCAAAGTCAGCATAAACCATTCGCTGCGAAGAGTGGCGTTGGTATACCAACTTTACATAAACGTGCCTCTGCCACATACTTTGGCAGCAAAGACCATCAGCTGAAGAGTAACCCTAGCAACATGACTATGACACTAGATGGGCCAAGTAGTCGGTTAGTGACAATTGTTGAATCGAAGAAATGAATATATGCGCAGGCATAATTTTAATGCCCAAAATATGCTAATGATATGTTGTTATATTGATTATACAATCGAGTTCATGGTGGAAGCTTTCATTAATAAATGTTCGGAAAGTAAAAAAAAAAAAACAAAAACATATTTTACTTGCATTTTAGGTATCAGTTTCTCTACAAAATTTCATGACTGCCTTAATTTTTTATTATTTTATGACTTGTTTAATCTACATTTAAAAAAGATCCGATAGGAATCCACGGACTTATACAGATACATATGTCTTCTCATAATGGGGAATGTCCCTTATTGGATTAAAAAAAATTACGATTTTGTTTTGATAAGTAATTAAAAGAACAGCTCACGTGTGCATTTATATGGTTTAATATGTATTCTAATTCATTTATTGTTACGTATAATTAATAGTATGAAACAATTATAACTAAGAAAAATTATTTAAATTTAATAAAATGAACTTAAATACATATTCACTTTTTGCAGTTCATTTCTATTTTTATACGATTTATAATGCTTAAATTTGATTTCTAATGAAAGTGTCAACATATTCTCGTTTTTAAAAATTGGCAAAGTTTTGTTTTTCGAGTAGGTATGCTCTTTAAAATTATAACTTAATTTAATATTTTATGTTTCATTTGAGCCAATTATTTTACATATTATCATTGAATAATGCATTTACATACATATGTATGTACGTGCAAACTTGGGGTCGTTGACTGAAATGTTCTGTGCATGTATGTTTGTATGTAAGTATATTTGTGATATTCTTGAATAATTTGTAATTCATTAATGTGTCTTAATTACGCCATATCGTTATTGATAAAAGTTACACGAAAAAATTGAGGTTACCATTCCGCTTTTTTACATTCATTTAGCGTTGGCAATTTTATTACGTTTCATTTTTCGTTTTTATAAAATTGCTTCCTTGTTTTATTGTTTTTATTTTTCCGGTCCCTCGACACCCGCTTGATTCATTAAGTCTGCGATGCTCTTTTCCAAGTCATCTATTCTATTGCCCATATCATCGATGCGTGTGATTATTTGATCCGACATTGTTTGGAATTTGTCTTGCACGTTCTGCAGCAGATTTTGCACCTAGAAATAAGTTGCATATTCAGTGAAGTGGAAAATTTCAAGCTTGCAATAAACAGCAAAAAGTAGGAAAACTATTATTTATGAAGAAAAAATTCAGGGGTGTGAATACTTTATTACTTTTCCCCGCCCTTTCATTAACAAGGCTTTGACGCTGCTGTAGGTACAAATTTGTATCCATTGGCAAAAAGTGGGAGTGGCGTGCAACACGAAAGTGCAGGTTTGCTGCATTGCGCAAGTAAAGGAAACTAATTTTTTTTCATACAATAAAAATAACGATAAGTCTGTAGATAACGCATTACATTCCCACCCCGCATTTTATTGCAGAACAAAGAAGTCATGTTTGATTACTCACGTATATAGTCAACTCCTGCATATTCTTCGGATCTGCATTACTGTTCAATGAGTAATTCTGATCCAAATCACTATCGACGTCATTTTTAAGGTCTGCCATTTTAACGCCGGTGTTTTTTTACTTATTTTACGTTGTTTAATTTATGTTTTTCTTTATAAAAGTATAAAAATTAATTATTTTTGCAAATTTTCCGCCTTTCTAAAACCAGACACAACAAAATTTCAACAGAAAATGACAGATGCAAGCAGCTGAGCTGAATTTTCTTCTTGGCAGTTTTGTTGTTTATGGTTGCCATGGTTATGCGTCACAGGGTGTTGCACATGTAAGTAATTGAACGAAGGGTTGTGTTTGGCTGAAAAGTAAATTTTTTGTAAAAAAATTATGATTAATGAATAACAATTAGAAGTAAACTTATTTTATTTTAATATATATAAATAATATTATCATTTAAGCATAGTATTCTGTTCCTGTTCCATCCACTTGAAAAAGCTGTCAAATTGCATATAAAATTTCTTTCTGTGAAATAAGTGTGAAATTCCACATTTCCTTAGCAAAGTAGTATTCTGTTCACGAAACAGCTTGCAACATGTTGGCAACATGAAGCTAGCAACACAATTTTCATGACGTTTTTAAATACACATGCACATTTTAAATTGTGTGAAAGCTGACAGTTTATAAAATTATTATAATGTGGTTGGTCTTGGCAAGAATGTAATCCCTCAAGTTTTAGCTTATAATGGTTCTAGGGATACACTCTGCGATCATGTAACTTTTCAGAAAGTGTTGCGCCCGTTTTTCTGTACATATGTATTTCCATTGGAAAAATACCTCATCTCGGTATTCTAGGTAAATGCTTCCAGAAGTATCTATGCGTCACCAGAATTTTAGTTTATATGGCTTATACCGCTAGCTCTTTTCAATGGCTACGAGATCGTTTTCATATACCCCCATTTTTCATAGGTTTGAGATTGATTTCATTTACCTCTATTCCAAGTTCTACGGTACCACACCGCATTTTCCAATAAACCCATATTTTTCCATGAGCTTGAGATCGGCTTCATATATGTACATATATCCATACCAAGTTCCAGGACTCTACCACAAATAGAGATATGCACTATGAAAAATTCGGTTTGTGTGGGAGGAGTTCCACACCCCTTTTAGATATCGGTTTTATTTTAGCCTATAACCATGCTTGGTTAGTCTGTGTCCGAAATTTCAAAAAAATCGGTACAGCCGGTAAAGGCATTGTGACCCCTCAAGCGAAATGATCTAATGATTGTAAAAAATGAAATGAGACATCGAAACAAAAAAGAGTATTAGACTTCATTCTCTCAACTGCTCAGAATGTAGAAAAGCTAAGAAATATATAATAAGATAGGATATATTAAAACAGCCTCCAAAACATTTACTAAAGACGCCCCTGAACTACACATATCAGTTTGATTGAAAATTTGTATTTATTTATTTATTTATTTTATACTTCACTTTTCGGTGTGTCAAAATTTCATGTGAAAACAATATGTGTTGCTGGAAAAATCTCACGACTGTGAACAGAATGTTAACCTTAAAACGATGTTTCCACGACAAGTGATTCGCTTTCCCATTCGTAACTCGCTCTCTCATTCGCGATTGGCGCTCCAATTACGAACCGAATCACGTAATTCGCCATACAAAATTTTGAGAGCGAATCACTTCATTCGTAGGTGATTCAGATCCAATCACCATGCGAATCAAGAACAAATCGTTGTCTTCTCTAATTTTTATCGATAACGGCTGTCAAAACTCATAGACCACACACATCCCCACCAGCACAAACATTGGAAAAATAGCTAGATCCCTGCAAAAATCGCGACTACTCCATGCATGCATGTAAAGAGTACACCCGAAGGACCAAGGAGTACTCCAAAATTAACCACAATTCATATAAAAAATATGGTCCAATTAACATTGTGATGTCCTAGGGCAGGACCATATACTCCATCTCTGCATTACATCAGAGTAGCACAAAACTACTCCAACATACTCCAATGACATTGTTGTTATATTTTTT